TACTCTCTCTCTCTCTCTCTCTCTCTCTCTCTCTCTCTCTCTCACACACACACACGCACACAAACACACACAGGAGAAACACCTTCGAGGGGCTTCATATATATATATAATATATATACCTCGAAGTAAACGGGATCATAGGTTGACTTGAGATCAATTTACAGCTAAGCTCTCCACGATCTAGGCGATATACTAAACATCTACATCGACCTCTGCATTCTGCATCCACCATTCCAAAATACAGCATAGAATAAGGAGGCTATCATGCAAAGACACCAAAACCCAGGCTTATGCCCGTGGCCGTAGCATTACTTGCGGAGTGATCCGTAGTTTGCGTACTCGATCCGGTTGAGCTCGAGCTTTTATACGGTCTGTGTTGCGCAAGCAACGATCCATAGGCAACACGATCGAGTACAGCGCCTTGATGGTGATGCCTCCTCGCGGCGTGCCTGCCAACGCACGGGAAACGCTGGCGTTTGCTTCTGCTGCTGGACTTCCTCGGCTTGTTTGTGAGCCCCGAGAGAGTCGACTCGTACGGTGGATATACAAACGAGAGCAGATGGAGCAGCGTCGGACATGCAGAAGGCTGCCGACTGTATGTATGTATGTATGCATACCATCCATTTCATTCCCTCTCGTCGTCTTAATTATATTCGCTTAGTTACAGCAAATCATTCTCTGAAGGCGCAAAGCCATCAGAGACGCACATGCCGCACCGGAAAGAACGCCGGTCCTCTTCGCTATGTCCACCGGGGGGTGCCATCTCTCACGTGCACCCATGCACGTCAACTTTTATTTTGTTTATATATACAAATACATAATTTTGGATGAATTGTCGAAAGAATTTATTTTATGTTTTTTTTTGCTTCTTTTCATAATTTCTAAAGGGTGTTTCTCATTTTACTGTAATCCTTCAAATGTCTCTTGATAAGATAAACAGTACAGTATCTACTGAGTATACCCTATGGATTGATCTAATTATTCAGTTATAATATTATCATGTTTTGATAAAGATGTCAAAAAATAACTAATAACTTTATTATAAACAAATAAAAAAATCTATTTGTAACTCTGTTTTTTATAGGAGATTAATTTTTTTTGGGTTTTGAGTTTAATTTGTCTTTGTTTTAATATTTTTTAATACATTTTTTTAATGATAAATGTGTCAAAAATATTATAAATAATATAAATATTATATATTGGAGATTAGACCAAATCGAATCGGTCGATATATATATATATATATATATATATATATATATATATATATATATATATATATTCTCATTTCAAATAAGTAAAGCCATGTGGAAATAAACAAAGGAACTGTCGACATTAAAGCATGCGTCGATCTCAAGTTACTGTTCTAACGACTGCGTAGGTGAGGGAAAGCTATGTGCGTGGCCTTTTGACTTGGCTCGTCGACCGATGCCGACCATTAACGGAAGAGGCCATCGATGGTGCCCATCGCATGTGCGCCAACTGTCACTTTGACCTTTGAACTCCGGTCAACACAAAGATTTGACTTTTTTTTTAATTTCAACTAATATTAGTATTTTTATAAAAAAATGATTTACTTATATGATATAAAAATAAATTTATAATTTAGCAGAAGATGATGATACAATTATAACAATGTTTGAATTACAAATAGATTTGATCCTTTTCGGATCAATATACATGAACATATTCATAACATAAGTTGAGAGCAATTCAATCAATATTTCACAGATTACCAAAACTGCAACCCATCAGAGAGCAAATCTGTCTCACTCCATTATTCTCGCCTTTCATACAAACCAAGTGACTTGTGAAATGGAGTACTTAAATATGATTCATTGTGCGCGAAACAAGCAATAGAAGACCAGGAAATCATTTAAAGAACAAAGGTTGAATGACTGAAACAATGAGGTCAATGTCCAGTGAGCAACAAATGTAGAGAATGGAGGCTACCAAAGTTGTACATTTCATCTGATATCTTGCACAATCACACCCAGGAATTCATACTATACAGATTTGACAGTAATGGCAATTTGACTGTTGATAAATGGGGGAGAAAAAGAAATCTTCAAGGGCACACCAAAAATTGGCAATTAGGAGCAGCCATTCTTGCTTTTCACCTACATGCCAGTGACCAGAAGTTCATGAGAAATGATGGGCAGACTGCAAACCAACTGATGAAAGCCATCGCCGTTGCAGTCTCGAAGCTCGTGCAGTGGTTCTGTGAGCATATGTTGAGATCATTGCCGATCAATACTGTAATGCCGGAAGATGCACAAGCAGCTGCAAATGTCAGTGTGGCCGTGATCTGCATGAGAAATCAAATTAATGCACTTTCCACTGCTTAGATATTTACATGAAAAAAATTGTGCAAATCTTATGTCGGGAAAGGAGATTTCTAACTAGTCTGACTTCACAGTTATAGAGACATTTGATAGGGGCACGGTTGGTTTGAGCTCACCGACAAAGTTAATTGATGCATACTAAATTGCCAGATGAGAGACTCTTAAAGGATAAATTTACTTTTGTGAAGTCCACAGATTGAATTTATATGACAACATGCATCCTGGTGTTTATCTGCATGTGAAAAACCTCTTGATTTTGTTTAGAACAAAACCACGAAGCTAACATCCATCATGCAGTCGACCGACTTCCTTACCCCATCTCCAAGAGTAAACAAATGCAGTGCTCGGGGATTCCGCAAGCAGCGTTTTACTAGAAGTGCATATATATCCAGAAAAGCTAATGAGATACTCCACAAGCCTTGTAAGATGGTTGCCGCAACCAGATAACTGCAGGATACGGAAAAAGTTACTTCAGAAGGTTCAGAATTTCTGTTCCGTATTGTGAATCTAAAGTTGCTAACTATGTTGCAGACAAAAGAGCATTCACCATATATGCCCACACTAACAATCTTCAAGAAGTATCTTAATTAAGAAATTTAAAGCGAGTTTTAATTAGATTACAAGAGCATCATGATTTCTTTAGATATAACTAATGGCTTATATTTATAGCTCCTTAGCTGCCTATTCACAAGGGCTTCATCACTCAGTTCGTGAATTTTTCAGAACACAAGTAAATTTGCAAACTAGGCAAAAACAAAAAAGACAGAGACAACCAGTACTATCCATCTATACATCCAAACAGATATCAGTGCAGCATGGCAGCAGTACATCTATTTTGAAAAGTCAAGGACATGCCAGAGAAATCAAATGAAGTATCATGTTATCAAGTCGAAACAGACTGTTCTGAAGACCCTTCCTCAAGCTTATCTACATGGATGAAGGTAACGTGTATCATGATAAATACTTTACATAGGGCATTTCAAAGAGAATATTCTTAATTTTCATATTATCGATGATAAGAGCAAATTTGATGGCTTTAAAAGAGACAATAAAAGGCAGAGCAATGTACAAGTTATTGAAACTAAGAAAATGTAACTTGAAAACCAACAGCTGCTGTTCACCATAATTCAGCAATACTAAGACTAACTTGGTCACTTGCAAATGCTGATCCTAACACTCCTTATTGTCGACCTCGACCTCTGTCCCAGTCTCCCAGACTCAGTTTCTTCTCCAAACATGGTAATGATATATTAGTCAGGCTATATTTATATAAACATGAATGTTTGAAAGAAAGAATGACCAGAAAGTATTACTGCGATTCCTTAATTAGAGGTTACTTGGCGTCATAAGAGGACAATATATTTTCCAAGATGCCATATGAGAAGTTTTTGGGCTTATGAACGAATGGATAAAATTGACAAAAGAATTAAAATCTATATCCATGGCAGAAAGAACCATGGACAAAACCATAATTAGCAGAGCAACGATGATGGTATCTCCACCTTCTACTTAAGAATTTCTTTTCCTAATCGGATAGTAGTAACAAAAGAAATTCTAGAATCTTAAGAACTCAGCGGCAGTGTGATGAGACATACTCAAATTCTAATTCCTCAGAGGTTCTAGTGCAATTTGAGACATTTGAGGTACTGGTAAAGAGATATATTGGACCACAGGAACATTAACTTTTTGCCAAAATTTACTTTAGGATCATAATCATTATTATTCTGAATTTCTTTGGCCTTGTGAACAATTTCGCAAGATGAATTCCAGAAGAGAAAACCTCCAACCAGGCAAAAACATGACATCATCATTGCACCATATATAAACCCATGAAACTGAAAAAGGGATGATGTAAGTGTGTATATTACATAAGTGCACGTTGTTACGTGCTAACAGACTAAAAGTGTTGCCCAAATTCTGGCCGATAAACCGACTAAGTCTCCTCATCAAAACAGACACTCGAATACATGTACCTATTTGATTCATGCAACAACTATATTCATACATGCATGAAAAGGGCCTCCTTGGTACAATATGGATTCGCACATGGTGGATCATAAACCTTTATGGGAGGAACATAAATTAAGATATTGTATAGTTTCAGATTATGGTCGCTAACTTTGAGTGAGCATTAAATCCTTCCTCCCAGATTGTTTCAATTGTTTGAGCAAGACAAGACAAACAGAACTAAAAAGAAATTGACTTGTGTAGCTGTTTGTGCGTAGCCATCAATAAAATGTCTGAAACTAATATGGCAATAACGGCTTGAGAGTCTGACTCATGCTGGAATTTAGTCAAAGGTGCATTCTGACTCTCTTAGCCCACCAACAGTTCAGGAAAGTTCAATGCAAGAATTGCATGCAACCAAGACAGGCAAGAATAGTGAAGCCCCATTTTATGCGCTTTGGCACTAACCACCAAGGATTGTGAACCATTAAAATAAGTAGAATGGAACTTGTATCCAGAAACAAATATCCAGTAACCCATACCCTAACCCAAAGAAGATGGAGGGACCCTGAAAAAATAGATACTTGACGATAACACAGATTATGATGACGTCTGCGTAACAACAGCATTTGATCTTTTCCTGGCAGTTGCTGCCAATGCCCACACAAGCATAGTCAAAAGCAATCATTAGTCTTCAAAGAATTAAATCCTGGTACCAATCCTGTAATGGTCACCTCATGGACAAGTATGATACGTTGGTACGGCACACACCAGAACATCACTGAGAAAGTAATAGAATATTACTTTTGATAATGATAACATAATACAATGTGCTTTTGTACATGGCCAGACTGGTACAATGTATATGATATTTGAATCCATGACTATCCTTGTTGCTATTGCCGCTTCTCTCTGTAGTGACAGGAGCGGACATTCTACATCGTTTTCTTTGTAATTGACTTAAAAGTTGGGGTGATAAGCTCGTTATGAGCCTAATGGAACTTACTCTAAAGTAATTATATTAACAAGTCTACAGTGTATCAATCAGGAGCCTCATAAACCATTGACTTGGTATACTGGCTGAAAGAAATCAATTAACAAGGATACATGCATCATCAATCAATAAGAAACATTAAGGAAGACAAACTGAAACATTCAGAAGAAGAGGCCAAGGTCTCTTATAATTCAAACGCTGAAAGGTCAATGGATAATTCCTGTAATGGTATATTTGTTTTAAGAATCTGAGTTGTGTTAGCAAAATTTTATCCAAAATTTTATTTTTATCATACAGAAAACTGTACTAAGAGCAAAGGAAACCAAATCACAATGATCAAAACATGGTGTATAACTATTGTAACCCAGTTGGTAAAGTTCTAACAGTAATTGCATCCACATGCAACAGACTTTGGAACTCCAACACCAAAAGAAGATAACCAATGGAGTATCAATACCATTTGGACTCTCTTTAGACGTCCTAAGCATGAAACCAAAAGAAAGATTTGTTTATAACATGAATGAAAATTCTTCCACCCTGATTACAATGTCTTGTTGATCATTTTAATCCTAAGCACATCTATTTATGGTTCTCAATGATATTAATGTCTTAATAAAATAGTCTGTCAAGTCAAGAATGTAGAGAGCACAGTAAGTGATCTCTTCAACTAACTAGTAGAGATGCTGGTTCTCTTAGAAATGCTTCAGGGAAGAAAAAGGAAGAAAGAAGGGAATCGATGAAGGGCCAAGTTACCAGAAGGCAGTGACGGAGGCAAAATCGCTGGCGGAGACCATGACGCCGAGGGCGGCGGCCGCGAACACAAACTGAGAAAGGCGCAGCGCGAGGCCGCCGGACGTCCCCGGCATGCCCTGGATCTCCTTCATCCTCACCCTCGGCGGGTTTTCGGCTGCATCCGTCAGAGGCGGCGCCTCCACGGGGTGCACTGCTGGCCTGCTCACAAACATCTCGCCTAGGCGAACTCCCAGTCCATGACGGCCGACGAGGCTACCAACTAGGCGTCACATCAGGTGAAACCCCATCATCATCACCACCCTACCACCCCCCTCGTTAATCGAGATCCCTCTCTTCCTACCTCCAATTTGCCGGACTCCGGAATAAGATATGATTCTTGTATGGAGGACGCGATAGCAAAAGGAGAAGGATCAGAGAGCCGAGAGAGCGACGGCGATCGAAACAGCCAGCCGAAGACAACACGACGAAAAGAAAACACACGAACACAAAACGATCACTAAGTGTGTGACCGAAGATTTCTAAATGGAATATGTTTGTGGGAGCCACAAATTCCTCCAATCACAATTCAGGTAGAGCTGTATGGTGTCGTGTAGACGACGTAAGCGTCTTTAATATACAAGGTGTGTGTATATATATGTTTGTGGGAGCCACAAATTCCTCCAATCACAATTCAGGTAGAGCTGTATGGTGTTGTGTAGAAGACGTAATCGTCTTTAATATACAGGTGTGTGTAT